GGAGTCGAAGCGCTTGGAGAAAACGCTTCAGAAGAAGAAAAGAAGAAATACACAGAATCTGAGAAGCTGAGTTATAAAGCATTATTTATAATTCATCAATGTGTCAGCCCAGACAATTTCGAAAAGGTTAGTGATTCAGAATCTGCAAAAGAAGCTTGGGAGATCCTTGAGAAGTCTTTTGGAGGCGCTGAGAAGGTGAGAGAAGTGAGGTTACAAACTCACAAAAGGACCTATGAACTGCTTCAGATGGAAGACAGTGAAAACATATCTGATTTCTTAACTAGAGTTACAAAACTAGTAAATCAAATCAAGATATGTGGAGAAGCGTTAACAACAAGAGCTGTTGTGTCGAAGATCTTGAGATCTTTAGCTCCTAAGTTTGACCACATAGTGGTGGCGATAGAAGAGGGGAAAGACTTGTCGAAATTGACAAAGGAAGAGCTTCAAGGGACGCTTGAATCTCATGAACAAAGAATGAACGAAAGAGCAGCAGGAAAATCGAAGAGTGATGTGGCCTTGCAGGCACATTCAGCAAAAGAGACCAAAGGCAAAGGAAAGTGTTTCGACAGAGGTAGAGGTGGCTACAACAAATCGAATGGTAGAGGAAACCAAATCGAAGGAGACGTGTCGAATCAAAGAAGACCATACCAAGGCAACCAAAGAGGTGGTGTTGCAAATAGAGGAAGAGGTGGTGGTCGAAAACCTGATAAGAGTCACATTCAATGTTACAATTGTCAGAAATATGAACACTATTCGAGTAATTGTCCAGAAAAACGAAAGAATCAAGAAAGTGATGCAAAGCTTGCAAAACATGAAGAAGAAGAGATGATGCTGATGGTCACAACAAGAGATGAAGATAGATTCAAGGACCAATGGTACTTGGATTCAGGATGTTCATCACATATGTCTGGAAGGAAATACTGGTTTGTCAATATAAAGCCCTCAAAGAAAAATATGGTAAAATTTGCAAATGACAATACCCTGGCAGCTGAATGTATTGGTGATGTTATGATTATGAGGAAAGATGGAAAAAGGTCAGTAATCTCCAATGTGTTGTACATACCAGGCATAAAGAGCAATTTGCTCAGTATAGGGCAGTTGGTCGAAAAGAATTATAAAGTGTCAATCGAAGATAAGTTGATGAGAGTCGTTGATGCAAATGGGAGAGTAATCTTGAAGGCTCCTATGTCTCAGAATCGAACCTTCAAGATTGAACTAAATGTGATGTAGCACAAGTGCCTTTCGACTGCAGCTAGCAGAGATGAATGGATATGGCATTATAGACTAGGTCATCTCAACTTCAGAGACATCAGAGATTTGAAGAGAAGAAATATGGTTTCAGGATTGCCAGAAATTGACATTCCAAACGAGGTATGTGAGGAATGTGTGCAGGCGAAGCAACACAAGAATAGCTTCAGCAAGGATGCAGGAAGCAGATCGAAGGCTAGTCTTGAAGTCATATACTCTGATGTATGTGGACCAATCCAGGTGGATTCGATGGGAGGTAACAAATACTTTGTTACATTCATAGATGATTTCAGTCGAAAGCTATGGACTTACCTGATCAAGAAGAAAAGTGAAGTGATCAAAGTATTTACCAGGTTTAAGTCTATGGTCGAAAGACAAAGTGGTCGAAAGCTCAAAGTTTTGAGAACTGATGGTGGTGGAGAATATGTGTCGAAAGACTTCGACAGATTATGTGAAAAGGAAGGGATTGTGCATGAGGTGGTGCCACCCTATACTCCACAACAAAATGGAATTGCAGAAAGGAAAAATCGAACCATCATGAATATGGTGAGAAGTATGTTGAAAGGCAAGAGTTTACCTAAAGAGTTTTGGGGTGAAGTTGTTTCGACTGCAACATACATTTTGAACAGATGTCCTACAAAGAAGCTAGAAGGAATTACTCCAGAAGAATGTTGGTCTGGTGTGAAGCCTTGCTTGAGTCATCTGAAGGTATTTGGATCTATTGCACATAGACATGTGCCAGATCAGTTGAGAAGAAAACTTGATGACAAGTCAAGTCAAATGATCCTAGTTGGATATCATTCGACAGGAGGCTACAAGTTGTTCGATCCAGAGAACAAGAAGATTGTGATCAGCAGGGACGTGATCATAGATGAGTTTAAAGAATGGGATTGGACTGCAAATGTCAAGAAAGATTCAGTGGGAATCCTATTCGAAGAGCCAGAAACTCAAGTCGGAAGAGAAGTTCGACAAGAGGAACCAGCAGATATACCAAGTACAAGCAGACCTCAAAGAACAAGACGTATGCCTGCAAGATTGCAAGATTGTGTGATTACATCAGATGATGTAATAGATAATGAAGGTGAGCTGGTACATTATGATTTCTATGCAGATGTCGAACCTGTTAATGCAGCTGAAGCATTAAAAGATTCGAAGTGGGTGAAAGCAATGAACGAAGAAGTAAAGTCTATCGAAGACAACAACACTTGGTCACTTGTCGAATTGCCTCAAGGCAAGAAGGCAATTGATGTCAAGTGGGTATACAAAGTGAAAACGAATTCGAAAGGTGAAGTAACTCAACAAAAAGCAAGACTTGTGGTGAAAGGATTTCTACAAAAAGAAGGAATAGACTTCGACGAAGTTTTTGCACCTGTTGCTAGGATCGAAACAATCAGGTTGGTTGTTGGTCTAGCAGAAATAAACCGTTGGCACATATGTCAGATGGACGTAAAGTGTGCATTCCTAAATGGACCCTTAGATGAAGAAGTCTATGTTAAACAACCAGTTGGGTTTGTGAAACATGACGAAGAAAGAAAGGTGTACAGGCTACATAAAGCCCTGTATGGATTGAAACAAGCTCCAAGGGCTTGGAATAAGAAAATTGATAGTTTTCTAAGAGAGAAGGAATTTGTGAAGTGCACAACTGAACATGGAGTATATGTAAGAAGAAGCAAGAGTAAATTGCTTATACTATGTCTCTATGTAGATGATTTGTTGATAACAGGTAGCTGTAAAAGTGAGATCGAAGACTTCAAAGGTGATCTCAGCAAGGAATTCAAAATGTCTGATTTGGGTGAGATTTCATATTTCCTTGGTATCGAATTCTAAAAGAGCAGTAGAGGTTTGATGATGCATCAAAGAAGATATGCAGGAGAAATTCTCAAGAGGTTTGAGATGGAAGAATGCAACTCAACTTCGACACCTGCAGAACCAAGACTGCAACTGTTGAAAGATGCAGATGAAGATGATGTTGATCCAACCCAATACAGAAGACTTATTGGATCATTAAGATATCTTTGTCATACAAGGCCTGACTTAGCATACAGTGTAGGTATGGTAAGTAGATTTATGCAGAAGCCAAAGGTATCACATCTAGCAGCAATGAAGAGGATACTAAGGTATCTCAAAGGAACTTTCGATTATGGCATTTTGTTTCCTGCAGTTGATAAAGGAAAAGAATTCCAGTTAGTGGGATACACTGATTCGATTTGGTGTAGTGATGCTGAAGATCGAAAGTCAACAACAGGATATGTATTTATGCTAGGTCGTGCACCAATTGCTTGGAATTCAAGAAAGGAACCAGTAGTGGCATTATCATCATGCGAAGCAGAATACATAGCTGCTTCTCTTTGTGCATGTCAAGCAACTTGGATGGTGAACTTGGTCGAAGAGATAACATGGAAAAATCATGGAGCAATTACCATGAAGATAGACAGCATGTCAGCTATTAATCTGGCAAAGAACCCAATAGCACATGGTCGAAGTAAGCACATCGAAATGAGATTCCATTATCTTCGAGAGCAGGTAGCAGATGGGAAGATGAATTTGGAACACTGCAGAACTGAGAATCAGATTGCAGACATCATGACGAAGGGAGTGCAAGTCGAAGTATTCAGAAAGCTAAGAGCCATGATGAACATAGACAATTTAGACACAATGAATTAGGTGGTGTGTTAAATTGTAATTCATATTGTCAAAGAAGATTTGATTTATTTTAGATTTAAATAGATTTGATTTAAGTCCAGAATAGATTTGATTTGATTTGATTTAGTAACAAAAAGATATTTTGGGCTTTGGGCTTAGGGTGTAAGCTCAGTTATAAATAGAGGGAGTAACCCCTATTTTTAAAAGCAAGTCAAGTAAGTCAATTCATTGTAATCACAGAATTTGCAGTTGCAAGTGATTAAGAAAGATTTCCACAGTTTGTGGGCAGAGAGAAACTCTGCAGAAATATTTGTCTTGTCTTCTTTTCTTTGTTTGTCTCATAATTAAATTGTCATTGTGGTAGAAATTCATCATAGAATTTGGTGGATTTCCAACAATGTCACCGTAGTGAATGCCATGCGTTAGAAATCCAAACCTATTATACTTTTTCCTTACGATTATAAATGATTTTTTCTTTCTCACACTTAAGATTTTAGTTTAATCTTTTCAAATCTCTCCAAGCGATATCACGCCTTCTTCTCATATTCTTTTTCACGTACATCTCGCCTCTTCTTCTCTAGTCACTTATGTTCTTTCTTTTTCATCTTCTTATTTTTATTCTACTATTATCTCTTCCAATTATGTTTTTAATGCACCTCTTCTTCTCTAATCTCTCATCTATTTTACTCTTTCTTTTTAATCTTCTCTAATCTTTCATCTCCTTTATTTTTTCTATTTTTTTATAATGTTTTTGATATTTTTTATGGTACTATTTTATGTTTTTTATTCAATTTTTTCTAATCTATTTTTTATATCAAATGGAAAGTTGTTGTTTAAATATATGGAATTTTGTTATTTATTTGATAACACATTAATGAATAAGTATAAAGTTGTTGTCATCTATATGTGTATGTATGACTCAATAATTTTTTTTGTAAAAAAATGAACCAACCCAAACTGCATTTCTTTGATTTGATTTGGTTCAATTTTATTTCTAAAAGTCAACCAAACCAAACCGAATCGCACACTTTTTTCTCTTACAATTTGGATGATTTTTATGTCAAAACCGCCTAAACCGCACCGCGAACACCCTAGTTCTAACAAGATTAATGTCCCACAACCACAATAACATTTCATCAAGATTCACTTCATCAACTGTGTTTGTGGTAGATGAAACTCTTGTCTATGATTCTACTATTACCAACAACATTCAAAGAACACGGTCATTTAATCCCCACCACAACAACAATGTTACTAGAGCTTCTTCCCCTTTTATCGATGGTCAAAATACTAGAACTTTTACTGCTGTGGGGATGGGTGTTCAAGAACATGTTACAACATCAACAACAGATGCATAATCCATCTCTTGCATTTGTCTTGTTGACTTGTCTAATGCTTCTTCCACACCAATTCGACAGCGTTGCTCTCATGTATTTCATACTGACTGCATTTGGAAATGGATTAATATTAGACAAATGTGTCCTCTTTGTCGCACCGATGTTTAATTTCCATACATTGTTTGTCACTGTATTTGTGTGTAAACCTGTTGTTTTGTCTATCTTTTCCTTATTATGTGTCAATACTGCAAATGTATAAGGTTATAGGTTATTTTGTTTGTTAATATTTATAACTATGCTTCTACTTTGAAGAATGTAGAGCTTGGTTGTATGTTATTTGAAAAACCACATTTTTAAATGAAAAACTTGTGATTCTCTAAATTTTCAAAGATTAAATATTTGGCATTTGGTTTATTGTTTCAAATTAAGCTGTTGTTGAATCTTATAAAATATGGAAAAGGCTGAATGAGAATTTAAAAAGGGCAATTGTTGTTAATTTTTTACTTTATTATAATTGTAATTAGTCAAGGTTCTACATAAAACTGCTCCATCTTTGTGTGCAAATATGTTTTTTGTCTATCTTTTCCTTATTCTTTGTGTTAATATGTGTTACACCGCAAATGTTTAAAGTGATTTTGCTTGTTAATATTTAGAACTATGCTTATGTCCTTCCAATCATCCAGTTTTATAGTTGTCAACAGATCCTGAATAACGCTAGTGTTGGAATTAATTTATATCTTAGGAATATCTTATTGATTAACTTTGTTAGAGGGTATTTTAGTATTTTATTATACCATAATTTTGTGTATAAATAGCCTAGTAGTAGGTAGGTCAATATAATTTATTATTCCTTATTTTGTAGCCATCATTCAATATATTCCTTTTGTCTTTCATGTCTCCTTTGTGCACCAACAATTGGTATCAGAGCTCTGGTTCGAAACACATGAAACAAGAGTGAACAGTGAGGTATTGTGTGATTGAGAATCGTTTTTTCTGATTCTGTGGGATTTGGGAAACATTGTTTTTAGTGAGTTTTTTTGCGTGAATTACACAAGGTTGGAGATGAACGGAAATGTTGATATTAACTCCAAGCTTCCAGTGTTTCATGGCAAAAACTGGAATCGTTGGAAGATCCAGATGCGTGTGTTGTTTGGCTCTCAAGATGTGTTAGATCTTGTCACAGATGCCTATGATCTGTTAGAAGCAGACGCAACAGAGGCACAAAAGATTACACATAAGGCGCTAAGGAAGAAAGATCAGAAGGTATTGTTATACATCTATCAATGTGTGAATGCGAATGTGTTTGAGAAGATTGCTGACTCTAAAACAGAAAAGGCTGCGTGGGACACACTGGTCAGATGTTATGTGGTGACGCATAAGTGAAGAAGGTGAAGCTTCAGTCTCTCATAAAGCAATATGAGAATCTCAACATGAAGGACAACGAGAAGCTTTTTGAGTACATCTCTAGAGTGATTATGATCACTAATATGGTGAAAGCTTGTGGAGAAACTCTTTCTGAACAAGTAATCATTGAGAAGATGTTGAGATCTTTAACTTCTCATTTTGATTACATTGTGATAGCAATTGAACACTCTAAAGATCTGAGCACCATGAGTGTTGAAGAGCTGCAAAGTAATCTAGAGGCGCATGAGTTGAGTATGGCTGAGAGAACTTCTAAGAGGGAAGTAGAGCACCAGGCTCCGAAAGTAACTTCTGGTAAGAAGTATCAAAAGCAGACTTGGTCAGAAGCCAGGAAGAAAAATAATGATGGTAAAAGGTCATATAAGCTTCAAACTCTGATAGGCAGAAGAATGTCCAGAAGGGAAAGGAGAAGTCTGACAAAAAGAATGTTCAGTGTTACTGTTGTAGGAACTTTGGTCAATATGCTAAAGATTATTGGTCGAACAAAGAAAGAAAGTCAGAAGAAGTAAATATAGTCAGAGGAGAGTCTGATGATGAACCTGTGCTATTGTTGGCTTCTGAACCTGATAATATGAATTCATCAGAATAATGGTATATGGACACAGGGTGTTCAAACCATCTTATTGGAAACAAGAAATGCTTGGTTGATTTTGACTATGGGAAGAGCACAAAGATCAGATGTGCTGATGATAAATACCTTAATGCAGAAGGTATGGGAAATGTCAGAATCATTCTAAACAATGGGAAAGCAGCAGTGATCCAGAATGTATGGTATGTACCTAGCATGAAAAGCAATCTAATGAGTGTGGGACAACTGATTGAGAAAGGTTTTTTGGTTACCATGAAGGACAATCTTCTGAAGCTGTATGACTGTAATCGGAAACTAATTATGGAGTCAGAACAGGGAAGGAACAGAACATTCAAGGTGAATGTTAGAACTGCAGACTCTGAATGTCTTAGTACAACAAAGGTTGTCAAGGAGAGTGAGCTGTGGTACAGAAGATTTGGTCATCTGAATTTCAGAAGCTTAGGGCATCTGAAATCAAAGAAGTTGGTACATGGAATTCCTACAATCAAGAAGCCTGAGAAGTCATGCAAGGTGTGCATAGAAGGGAAGCAACCAAGATTACCATTTGCATAAGAAGTAGCTCCAAGAGCAAAGTATGCCTTGGGAGTAGTGCATTATGATGTATGCGGTCCATTTCCAGTAGCATCAATTGGAGGGAATAAATACTTTGTGTCATTTGTTGATGAGTTCACCAGAATGACATGGGTATTTCTCATAAAGAACAAACACGAGGTGTTTGTTGAATTCAAGAAGTTCAGACTGAAGGTTGAGAATCAGAGTGGCCAGACTCTGAAGATTCTTAGAACTGATGGTGGTGGTGAGTATAACTCCATAGAATTCAGAAGGTTCTGTGAGGAGAATGGAATTGAGCATGAGGTTATTGCTCCCTATACCCCTCAACACAATGGTCTTGCTGAAAGAAGAAACCGTACTTTGCTTGATATGGTGAGAAACATTCTGAAATAGAAGAAGCTTCCTCATACTTTGTAGGGAGAAGTTGTTGCCACTGCATATTATGTGCTCAACAGATGTCCAACAAAGAAGCTGAAGGAAATAGTTCCTATTCAGAAGTGGACTGGAGATAAGCAAAGTGTTAGTCATCTAAAGGTGTTTGGTTCTGTATGTTACAAACATATCCCAGAAGACAGAAGACAGAAGCTGGATGATAGAAGTAAAGTAATGTTACTGGTGGGCTACCACGGTAGAGGTTCGTACAAACTTTATTGTCCAGAAACCAAAAAAGTTGAGTTCAGCAGAGACGTCATTGTAAAAGAATCAGAAGTCTGGAATTGGGAGAGGTCTCATCCTGACTCTGATGAGAGAACTCCTAAAGAAAAGTCAGAAACACATGTTTTTGAAGCTGGTAAAGACTTTGACTCTGAAGAAGATTCAGAAGGTGCAGATGATTCTGACTCTGACTTCGATGGTGATTCAGACTCTAGCAATTTTCCAGACTCTAAATACAATCAAGGTTCTAAAGAAAGTCCAATTTCTGAAGCAAGAGCTTCTGAAGGGGAAAGTTCTGGTGTCTGGGGTTCTGAAGTTCAAATTAAGAGGCAACAAAGAGTCAGAAGTATTCCAAGAATATTTGCATAGTTTGACATGTTACAAGACACTAAAGTAGACCCCGAAGGAGAAGTTATTCAGTGTGAAATGTTAGTAGACTCTGAATCCGTGAGTATGGAAGAGGCTCTTAAGCAGCAAGTCTGGTTGCAGGCCATGAAAGAAGAACTTGATGCTATAGAGAGAAACAAGACTTGGAAGTTGACAGAACTTCCAAGAGGCAAGAAAGCCATCAGCGTCAGATGGGCTTTCAAGCAGAAGCTAAAGGTAGATGGATCAATTGGCAAATATAAAGCGAGATTAGTAGCAAGAGGCTTTTTAAAGAAGCCTGGGCTGGATTACTCTGAAGTGTTTACACCTATAGCAAGACATGAAACAATCAGACTAGTGATTGCAATAGCTGCTAACAAGAATTGGCCTCTGATGCATTTAGATGTAAAATCTGCATTTCTGAATGGTCCATTACAAGAAGAGGTATACATGTCACAACCTCCTGGATTTGAGAAAAAGAATCAGGAAGGGATGGTGTTCAAATTACACAAAGCCTTGTATGGATTGACGCAAGCGCCTAGAGTCTGGAATCTGAAGATTGATTCATTTTTCAAGGGACAAGGGTTTCAGAAGTGTGAGATGGAGTATGGTGTTTATGGTCAGCATACTTCATAAGGTAATATGATTCTGGTATGTTTGTATGTTGATGACAAATTTCTCACAGAAAATTTTGAATAATAGATAGTTGAGTTCAAGAAGGTTCTGATGAATGAGTTTGAAATGACAGATCTTGGGAAAATGAGTTTCTTTTTAGGGATGAAGTTTATGTACTCTGAGAAAGGAATCATTTTGCACCAGATGAAGTATGAACTTGAGCTTATGAAGATATTTGAGCTAGAGAATTGCAAAGTTTCCATCACACCTGCTGATACGAATCAGAAGTTGGACTCTGATTTTAATGGAGAGGATGTGGATGCTACAACCTTTAAACTGATGGTTGGTTCTCTGAGGTATTTGTGTAATACCATACTTGATATTTGCTATGTGTTGTACCCCAAAATTTTCCCTCTCATTTATCAAATATTTTCTCACAAGATCTCCTTTGGTTCAAGACTGTACAAGGGTTGATCAGCTCAAGACACCTTATTAAGCACTAATGACTGAAATTAGGGTTTGAGATTGCACAAGGATAATTGAACTTTTAAGGCCTCATTTGACTTTCATGGATCACTATGGACCCTCAAGATTTCTCATGTCAAGTTTTAAGTCTTGGATCATATTTTTGCTTAGTCAATTGATCAGTTGGCCTAAAAATCAACTGTATTGGGGAAAAAGTCAATTGTGGTTAATTTACAGTCAAACTTCATAATTTTTATCCATATCAACATTATGAAATCATATATGTCATTTGATCAAGTTTGGACCATAATTCTTCAAGAAATTTGATCGGATCATCAAAAGGGCAAACTGGTCAAAA